ATATTTATTGTCGATTTGAAAGATTGTCTTTCATCAGTGGTCTGGTGTTCTTTTAAGCTACATTGTTCTAAATTTGTTGCCTTTTTACGTGTCGTTTTCTTAATAAGTTTTCGTTTTGTAGCATGTCTTGTCAGTTTAAGGGACTGTCCTTTTTGAGGTGTGTTATTAAAAAAAATTACACTGTCGTTTGTAGAATATGATGTCAGGTATGCGTCTCATTGTCGTTTATCATTAATGTCGTTTGTAGAAATATTGTCGTTTTCTATTGTAATTGTCGTTTATTCATTAGATTATCGTTTCTTGTCCTCTGTATGAATGTTGTCTATTATTGTCGCTGTTGTTGGTAGATTGAATTGTCCTTTTCACAATTCTCTCTCCTTCTAGAGATATTCTTCAAGCTCTTGCTGCTTTTAAAGTTTTTTTCGCCCTTATTCATCAGCAGTCGTGGCTTTTATTAATTAGTTTTATTCACCATCATGCTCTTTTCTTTTTTTTATTTTATTCCGTCTTGACCAAATATGACTTCAATATTTTTATCCGATAAAATTAAAAAATAAGAAAATAAGAAAGAAAAATAGAGGACGTTTTCGCTAGATGGTTTGATTGTTTATGTTTATGTTCTTGCAATAAAAGAGTAATGATGTTATGTGAATATATTTTTTGGGACCACTAAAAAAAATAACTTTCCCAGTAAAGATTAATCAGCTTGACTTTTAGTGGGCTCTAGAACGCATAATTTTTAAGATTATAAAATGGAAAGAGAAAAGTCATAGGTACTGCAAGTCTAAAATGAGAATAAAAAAAAGTTTTCGGCCAAAGGCAGCGTCCAGTTTCCAACCTCTATTTTAAAATGTATTAATTAGAAAAGGTCAAGATGGAAAAGGCAATACTTGTTTTAAAATTCATAAAGTTTGACCGCAAGGTGAAGATAACAACTAAAATTCAAGGGGTTGTTCTTTTATATTTTTAAGTTAAGATGATTTAGGTGATAATTTTAAATTGAGTTTGAGTTATAATTTGAGTTTATTTTTTAATGTGCACATTTAAATTATGATTTAAATTAAGAATCTTTTTAAGTTTGTGTTTAGGTGAGTCAAAACTTAAATTTGTATTTAGATAGTATTTTAATAAAAATTCAATAGTGATGAAAAATTTTAATAAGGTATATATGGGTGAGATTTTATTAATCTTTTCGTTGTGAATGCATAGTAAAAAAAAAGAATCTCAATCGGAATTAAAACGAAAAAGCTATGACATTTTTAAAAATAGAAAAAATATTGTTCATTAACTTGAGTTCGAGTTTATGAACTCGAGTTTGGAAGGAAAGTGTGAAATCGAGTTCAAACTAAAATTTTAGAAAACAATATGAACTTGAATAAAATTATAACTCGAATTCAAATTTTGTTTGAGTTTCATTATAAAAGAACAACCTCTCAATGTTCAACTCCTTTTTCTTCCTACATGATTTGAATCTTGAGACAAATCCGTGTGAAACCAATGCCACAAAATCAAACGTCTAAGTGCTATAAGAAAATATAACCGAGCACGCCTCTGTTTACAACTAAAAACCATGAAGATATCTTCATCCTACATGCTCTGTCTAGTTATGTTTTTGTCCCTACTTCGTCAGTTTTCGCACTGCCAACAGGCATCACTAAACGGCACATGCTCGACCGCCGCTAGTACGGGTAATGTTTCAGAAGGATCCCTCAATGCCAATCAGAGCTCACAAGGTTCTAATTGCATTAATTATGATGATGATAATGATGACGATGAAAGTTTTTCGTTGATCCAATTTGTTACTTTATTAGGTATGTGTCTCTTAGGATCAAGTTTGCTTCTCTTTCATAGACTTCAGAATAGTACCATATCGCTTTTGTATATGTATAACCAAATCCTTTTATGATTGATTTGACCAAATCTTGTTGCTCAATGGTTTAATTTCCAAGGTGGTGACGCTGGATTCGGAATCTTGTGCCTTTCCCTTTTGAGTTGCAAGTTGCATCAATGTTCAAAGAGGAGGAGAAAAAGAAGAAGGAAAGAGGAGCTTTTCAAGCAAAACGGTGGCCTTTTGCTACAAGAAAAGCTGTCGCCTGATGGAAGCAGCGAGAGAGCGAAACTCTTCACCGCAGAGGAGCTGCAAAGAGCAACTGACGACTATAACAAGAACCGGTTTCTTGGCCAGGGAGGCTTTGGCACTGTTTATAAAGGAATGTTGCCTGATGGCAGCGTGGTTGCCATCAAAAGGTTCAAAGCAATTGGTACAAACCAGGTTGAGCAATTCATTAATGAAGTCGTCGTTCTATCTCATATCAATCACCGTAACATTGTGAAATTACTCGGTTGTTGTTTGGAGACCGAGACTCCCATATTAGTGTATGAATTTATTTCTAATGGAACCTTGCACCATCACATCCACCAAAAAGACCCTGAATCGCCACTTTCATGGGAGAGGCGATTCGGCATTGCTTGTGATATTGCAGGAGCTTTGGCATACATGCATTCCGCAGCCTCAATGCCTATCTTTCATAGGGACATCAAATCCTCCAACATACTTTTAGATGACAAGTACAATGCAAAAATTGCCGACTTTGGGACTTCGAGATCAGTCCCACATGACAAAACTCATTTAACCACAGCAGTGCAAGGAACATTAGGGTACATGGATCCGGAGTACTTCCAATCAAGCCAATTCACAGATAAAAGTGATGTTTATAGCTTCGGAGTTACGCTTACAGAGATCCTAACCGGAGAAAATCCATTTTCTTTTGCTGAAGATCATGAAGGGAAGAATCTGATTTCAACTTTTATTGCATTGACAAGGGACAATCAGCTTTCTCAAATTTTAGATCCGCAAGTGGCTAAGGATGCAGGGGAGGAACTGGAAGATATTCATGCCATTGCAGAGCTTGCAACAAGATGTTTGAGGTTGAACGGGAAGAAGAGGCCAACGATGAAACTAGTATCAATGGAGTTAGAAAGATTGAGAAATAACCAAATAAACTTGGAAATGGACCAAGAGAGTGAGTCCTCAAGAGATGAAGAGCCATGTTGGAATATAACCATTGATACCACTCAAGAATCTATAACATCTAGCACTTATACCTTCTCGGACGTTGAGGCCACTGCTTTAAATAACTTAATTAAATAAAAAAAAATTTGTTGTACATTGGCACGGATTCGACCCCGCATTGTATAAAAAATTTAACAGAAAATTAAGAACAAAAAACTGGTTTTACATTCTTTCCCGGCGGTTGAGTATGTCTGAAAAATTGTACACGAGAGGAATGAGCTTATCCCTTGTGAGAAAAGTACATAGTTTGTCATGATTTTGTACAAATTTATTATCTATCTCATTCTCAATAATTGCGTATTATCGTAATTTTTTATTTTCTGTTTACTAATTGAATAGCTGTTTATTTTTAAGTTGAGTTACATAAATAATATTTTTACCACCTTGAGTGGTATTTATGGCTTTTTCCCAATTAACAGTTAAAAGAATGCATATGATTTAGGGTTTATGGGAGAAAAAAATTGTCATTTACAGAGTATATATAGTAGCAATAATGTCGTTAAATTCTTTGTCGTTTCTATGTACACGCTACTTGTACGATACATTGTCGTTCCTTAATATACTTCTTCGTTTATCCATCCCATTGAAGTCTCTGTCGTTTGTCCATCCGATACGACGGAAAACCGGACTGAAACTCCCGCGCTTTCAAAACAAAAGGAGGGGAGCTTTGCAAATATGGGATTAAATTGACCAATGCATTGCATCACTAACCTCCAACTTAAGGATGTTGCATTCATAACCCCCTTTATTAATGAAAATTTTGTTTTCTCAAAAATGCCCTTTACATATAAAAAATAAAATAAAATGTAAATATATTTAAATAAAAGAAAAAAAATATTAAATTTCATATTTTCCCTAAAAAAAAAATAAAAAAATAAAAAAAACCATTTTCTCTTCTTAAAAAAAACTCGTTAAAAAACGTCACCCCCTCTCCACTATCATCGTCGCCCCCCCCCCCCTAAAACTGCTTTCCATATACTCAAGCCACACCCTCTACCAATTTTCACGCTTCGGGTGTTACTTCTCGGCAATAAAGTGGAGTTTAATTTCCATAACATTTTGATACGTTAATCTCTAATCTTGTTATTAAGTAGTGTTTAAATGATTGGGTATTCATACTTAAATTAGTGGATTTCATCGAGGGTGAGCATTTTGACACTTTGGCATGGTGGAAGTTAAATTCTTCCAAGTACAAGGTGTCGTCACTTATTGCTCGTGATGTATTGGCTGGTCATGTTACCACCGTTCCCTCTGATTCGGCCTTTTCTATGGGGGATCGCGTACTTGATCCATTCCGTAGTTCTCTTAGTCCTAAGACAACTGAGGCAGTCATATGTTTGAAAAATTGTTTGAGTGGAAGCCATCAACCATTTGTGGTCAAAGATTGCATGGATGAAGCTGAAATATTGGATTTATCTGATAAGATTGAGACAGGTAAAATAATTTCTTACTACTATTCTACTATTTTTCCTTTACAATGTTGTGCTATAAAGCTTAAATTTTATTTGTAGTCTTTTACAGAACCACCTCCACGTCAATGGGTTCTCCTCGTGATTTTTATGCAAATGCATTGGAAATATGAAAATAAACCTTAATACTAGATGTTTTGTCATTAATATTTGTTGTCAATGATGTATCCATGAAATATGAATAGAGATGGACTAGTGTTTTCAAACTTGATACGGTGAGGCTTACTTTGGAATCTTGGACCACTGATATTTGCTATGTTAACTTTCATTATGTTTGAGTGATTGTAATTTTGGATTATTTTTGTTAACTTTGAGTGTGTACGGACCTTTGATATCATGTTCTGATGATATTTATTTGCTATGGCAATTCTTTTTATCTCGCCTTTTTCTACTGTATATGTGATATGTCAATTAGATTAAGAATTGTAAGAAAACAAGCTCAAACGATTTCTAGAGAGAGAAAGAAGAATTGATGAGTGAGAAAGAAAACTGAATTCTCATTCCATCTCATTCTGTTACAACTTCTTACTTATACATAAATTAGTGTAGATAACAACCTCTAACAAACTATTCAATGAAAACATGACACGTGTAATCTATATCTAATATAACTAAGACTTCTTAACAGCCCACCTCAAATTTAAAGTAGCTAAATCTTCTACTTTAAGTTTACTACGAATAAGACCAAAAGTAGAACTCGAAATAGCTTTGGTGAATAGATCAACTAGTTGATCAACAGCAGGTACATGTCGAACTTTTATTTGCTTCATCATGACTTTTTCCCGAACAAAGTATAAGTCCAGTTCTATATGTTTGGTTCTGGCATGTAACACTGGATTTGCTGCTAAGTGAACTGTGCTGAGATTATCACACTAGATGATTGGTGTTTTTGCTGTCTGAAAGTGCAACTCAGTTAAAAGAGACTGTAGCCAGGATATCTCAGCTACCACACTGGCCAAACTTCTATATTCAGCCTCTGTAGAGGATCTTGATACAGTATGTTGCTTCTTGGATTGCCAAGACACTAGATTAGAACCAAGAAAGACACAAAACCCTGATGTTGATCTTCGGTCATCAACATCTGATGCCCAATCTACATCACAAAAGACGACCAAATCCAGTCTTTCTGCAGGACATTCTCTCAAATGAAGACCATAATCTATTATGCCGGCTAGATACCTCAGAATTCTCTTTACAGCCTTCCAATGAGCTTCTAGAGGTGTTTGCATGAATTGGCAAACCTTATTGACATTGTAGGAGATTTATGGCCTTGTGATTGTCACATATTGCAATGCACCCACCACACTTCTGTATAACTGGACATTACTTACTTGATCACTGCCAAAAGAAGTGAGTTTTTGTCATGTGGTCATGGGAGCTGAAGCACCTTTTGCAAACTGCATCTTTGTTCTACACAACAAGTCATTCACATACTTTCGTTGAGACAAGAACAAACCTTGAGTTGTTTTTGCAACTTGTATACCAAGATAATAGTCAATCTCTCCTAAATCTTTGAGTGCAAAAGCAGTGTTAAGCTTAGTGGACAGTTCTTGGATTGCTGATTCATCACTTCCTATTATGAGTATATCATCCACATAAACAAGGATGTATATAGTCCACTTTGTCGTGACTTGAATGAAGAGAGACTGATCAGACTTAGCTGAGTGAAAACCAAGTTGAAGCAGCGCATGATGAAGCTTTTCAAACCAAGCTCTTGGAGCTTGTTTCAAGCCATAGAGCGACTTGTGAAGTTTGCACAGTAATGTTGGATGTTGTTGATCAACGAAGCCTGCAGGTTGTTCCATGAACACTTACTCTTGCAAATTCCCATTTAAAAAAGCATTATTCACATCAAGTTGTCTCAACTTCCTGCTTAGTGCGAGAGTAAGAATCACACGAATAGTGGTAGGTTTTACCACTGGACTGAATGTCTCAGTGAAGTCAAACCCTGCCACATGATGAAACCCTTTAGCTACAAGTCACGCCTTGTATTTATTTATGTTGCCGTCTGGATTCTCTTTTACCCTGAACACCCACTTGCAACCCATGGCTTTCCTGCCATGAGGTAATGAGACAAGACTCCATGTGTTGTTTCTTTGAAGAGCAAGAAACTCATTTGTCATAGCTTGTTTCCAGTATGTTGCTTCCAAAGCTTCTTCAACTGTATGAGGCTCTCTTGCTGCCATGTACACTTTGGGTTTAAAAATACCTCGTTTGGAGCGTGTCATCATTGAATGAGAAGGCCACAAGGTTGATGCATATGTTGTACTTTGATCCTGAACCTGCACACACAAGTCCTGATTCGATATTGGTGTTATAAAAATAGGTTTTGCCACAGTAGGAAGAGGACTGGGTATATCAGTAGAGGAAGGGATTGGATCTGAGTGTAAGGAAGATGATCTATGAGAAGAAGAAGAGGACAAGGAGGGTAGAGCATTGAGTGGGGCAGCAACGAACGGGGAGCCAAGAACATGGTGACTCAACAGAAAATGGTGAAACAGGATGTACAATTTTGATAAAAGGAAAGGAATTTTCATCAAAAATGAGATCCCAAGAGATATATATTCTTCCAGATGGATCTAAACACTTATAACCCTTATGTTTGATGCTGTAGCCAAGAAAAGTACATGGTATTGACCTAAATTGTAGTTTCTTTTTGTTTTAAGGTCTAATATTTTGATAGCATGTGCAACCAAAGACTCTTAGTTGAGAGTAAACAGGCTTAGTATGAAAAAGAATTTCTAAGGGTGTTTTATTGTAGAGAATTGGTGTTGGTAATCTGTTTATAAGAAAAACAGAGGTTCGGAAAGCTTCATCCCAATATTTGAATGGCATAGAAGCTTGAGCAAGAAGAGTTAAACCTGTTTCAACAATATGTCTATGTTTACGCTCAACCACCCCATTTTGTTCATGTGTATGTGGACAATGATGCCTATGTTCAACTCCATGTTGAACTACAAGGTCTATAAAGGCTCGAAACTCTCCTCCCCAGTCAGTTTGGATGCATTTGCCAAGTAAACCAATTTGTTTTTCCACTAGTGTTTTAAAGTTCACAAAGGCTTGTAAGGCTTCAGATTTGGTTCTTAGAAGGTATAACCATGTAAAACGAGAGTAAGCATCAATGAAATGAATGTAGTATCTATATCCACTGGAAGATAACACAGGTGAAGGACCCCACAAATCTGAATATACAAGCTGTAAAGGACTAGTGTAATCCGTTTGAGAGAGAGAAAATGACAGTTTTTGAATTTTGCCCAAACAGCAGGACTTGCAAATAGAAACTGTTGAAGTTTTATTTATGTTAGAGAGATTACAACTGTTCAATACCAGTTTTACAACTTTATCTGCAGGGTGTCCTAATATGTTGTGCCACAGCTTAAAACAGGAAGGCTTAACAACAGTACTAGTGTAAGCTGGAACATCAGAAATCAATGAAATAGAAGGCTTGGTAGAACTATGAAAAGAAGTACAAGACTGAGAACCATTTTGAGAGTTTACTGGGACGATGGACTTGAGGTTGATCTGGGAGTTGTCAAACACATAGAGGTCATCTTTAAGACGACCCTCCAGCAGCACCACCTTGGAAATAAGATCCTTGATAAAACAAGAAGTGGGGTGAAATTCAAAAAATACTCTGTTATCAGCTGCAAACTTAGAGACACTTAAAAGATTTTTACGAATTTCAAGAACATGCAACAAGTGTTTGAGAGTGAGGGATTTAGATGAGACAAAAGGGCTAGAAAAAGTGGAAGAACCAATGTGTTTAATAGTCAATCACTTACCATTTCCTATGTGCACTTGGTCTGGACCATAGAATTCAACACTATTCATGAGATTTGATTGGTCTGCAGTCAAATGGTTAGTAGCACCTGAATCAGGAAACCATTCCACATCAAAGGAATCATCAGTGTACCAGGTTGAATCAAGAACTGCTTCAGGAGTAGCAAGCAGAGCACCCATCTGAGCAGAGTCAGCAGCTGAATTTAGATTCGGACCTTGAGCTAAATTGCCTTGAACAAAATGATTGAACTGAGAAGGACCAGTGAAAGACCTTTCAAACCTATAATAGCACTGTGCAACCATATGACCTTGTTTACCACAGAGCTGACATTGTATTTAGTTGTTATTCCATGATTGTCCTCTACCATGGCCAAAACGACCTCTGCCCTTACTATTGTGATTACCAGAAAAATGACCTGGTCTAGAAGGATAACTACCAGAGGAATGTCCTGGGAAAACAGAATTGGAACCATGAGAAAAATGACCAAAATTAGAATTATTTAATCGTGAATTTGCATTAGGTCGACCACTAGTCATAGCAAGATTAGCCAGAGAAGGCCCTAAGGAAGGATTGAAACCATCACTCTGCTTAACAGCTCTCTCAATTCGGACTTCTTGAGCCAGAATGAGATATTCAACTTCTTCAACAGAATAGTCATTAAAGCTAGAGTTCACACTAATCTCTAAGATATCATATTCAGGAGGTAAGCCATTGAAGATTGCATCTATGTGATCCTTAGTAGAAATCTCATGGCCAACCAAAGCAAGCATATCAACAAAATGCCTAATTCGAAGCAAATACTCATTAACAGACAAAGATTCTTTACGAGTGTTCTATAATTGAGTTTTAAATTGGGACTTTTTAGCCTTAATTTGATAGGCGAAGTATTCCTCGATTGTACGCCAGACTTATGCTGCTGTTTCACAATTAACCATGCAAGAAATAACCGAATCGGACATCGAAGCTAGCATCCAAGACACGAGCAACTGATCTTGTTGCTCCCATTCTTCATAAGCTGAATTAACCACACGAAGAAGCTCATCTGCTGGAGAAAGAAACCATGGAGGAGTCTGTGCAGAATCTGAAAGAAAATCTTAGAGGCAATGACCGCGAACAGTTGCAAGAATCTGTCGCCGCCAAACCAAGAAATTGTTGTTTTCTAGCTTCGACGCAACAGGATGCGAGAAAGTAACTGGAACAAACCAAGAAGAAGAAGAAGTTGTCGGCGCAGCATCTCCCATGGCGATCGTCGGAAAATTGAAAGAAAATCTTAGAGGCGATGACCGCGAACAGTTGCAAGAATCTGTCGCCGCCAAACCAAGAAATTGTTGTTTTCTAGCTTCGACACAACAGGATGCGAGAAAGTAACTGGAACAAACCAAGAAGAAGAAGAAGTTGTCGGCGCAGCATCTCCCATGGCGATCGTCGGAAAAGAAGCTCCGTCACCGGTGAGAGGGCTCTGATACCATGTAAGAAAACAAGCTCAAACGATTTCTAGAGAGAGGAAGAAGAATTGATGAGTGAGAAAGAAAACTGAATTCTCATTCTATCTCATTCTGTTACAACTTCTTACTTATACATAAATTAGTGTAGATAACAACCTCTAACAAACTATTCAATGAAAACATTACAAGTGTAATCTATATCTAATATAACTAAGACTTCTTAACAAGAATGTTCACTCCATTTTCTGTTTGGTTAGGACTAGGACAGGCGGATCTCACCGGAACCATCAATCGGATCCCACCGAAATATTCCTGTCCTCATAGTAGTCCCGAAATATGATTGACTGGAACGTTGTAAGGCCTGTAATTTTCTGTATCAGTAATGAAAGACGTCCTTGAGATACAACTTTGGTAGGAATCTTGTCAGCCGATGTGACTTTTTTAATTAAAAGTGACCTAAGAAGCTTAAGACTTGGGGGAATCAGAGCCAAGGAGTTGATCTGTTGTGAACTTGTGATGGCGTATCACAAGGTATTCCTAACTAGAGCAGTAAAATCCCGTGGTGTTACAAACGACAGTGACATTGAAAGTCATACAAACGACTTCGGAAACGTCAAAGTGTTTTTTTTTTTTTTTTAAACAACATTTCCTCAGTAAGGAAAAAAAAAATCAACAGCATAGAATTATTCAAATACGAAATTACCTCGGCATCATTTTAGAAAACGACAAGATATCTAGAAACAACATATAAAAACACAAATGTCCATAAACGAAAAGAAAATTTAATACGACAGTATGTATCCTGCAAAAGACAATAAAGTTGAAAAAGAAAAAGACATCTCAGTCTCGCAAACAACACAAATGACTATATATCCGAGAAACAACAATGAAATATTAAGATTATTTGTATATCGTTAAGATTTCTATTAGCATGTCATTAAGATTGTTCTACATAAGTGAAGTTTTTGCAGAGACTAATTCCTCCAAATGATCCAAAATTATTTAAATCATTATCACTTCAGTCTCCGAGAAACTATCAGCTCTGAACTCCACAGATTCTTGTGTGGTATTGGGGCTTCCATTCATATATGATTCTTCACCTCTGAAGGACTGGAGGTCTTGGTCCATTTCCAAGATTCTTTGGCTCTTTCTCAAATTTTCCAACTCCATTGATACTCGCTTCATTGTCGGCCTCTTCTTCCCGTTCAATCTCAAACATCTTGTTGCCAGCTCTGCAATGGCCTGAACATCTTCCAGTTCCTCCCCTGGATCCTTAGCCACCTGCGGATCTAAAATTTGCAAAAGTTGATTTTCCTTTGTCAATGAAATGAAAGTTGTAATCAGGCTCTTCCCTTCATGATCTTCAGCAAAGGAAAATGGGTTTTCTCCGGTTAGGATCTCCACAAGCATAACTCCGAAGCTATAAACATCACTTTTGTCCGTGAATTGGCTTGATTGGAAGTACTCCGGATCCATGTACCCCAATGTTCCTTGCACTGCTGTGGTTAAGTGAGTCTTGTCATTTGGGACCGATCTTGAAGTCCCAAAATCGGCGATTTTTGCGTTGTACTTGTCATCTAAAAGTATGTTGGAAGATTTGATGTCCCTATGAAAGATAGGCGTTGAGGCTGCGGAATGCATGTATGCCAAAGCTCCTGCAACGTCACAAACAATGCCGAATCGCCTCTCCCACGAAAGTAGCGATTCAGGGTCTTTTTGGCGGATGTGACGGTACAGAGTTCCATTAGAAATAAATTCATACACTAGCAAGGGAGCCTCGGTCTCCAAACAAAAACCGAGTAATTTCACAATGTTTCGATGGTTAATTTGCGATAGAATGACAACTTCATTAACGAATTGCTCGATCTGATTTCTGCCGATTGCTATTGACCTTTTGATGGCAACTACACTGCCATCAGGCAACATTCCTTTGAAAACTGTGCCAGAGCCTCCCTGACCAAGAAACCGGTTCTGATTATAGTTGTCAGTTGCTCTTTGCAGCTCCTCTGCAGTGAAGAGTTTTGCTTTCTCACTGCTTCCATCAGATGACAACTTTTCTTGCAGCAAAATGCCACCGTTTTGCTTGAAAAAACCTTCTTTTCTTATTCTTATTCTCCTTTCCTTCAGCCATTGATGCAACTTGTAACTTGAAAGGAACATGCACAAGAGTCCAAATCCAATTCCAACACCTATGGAAATAACCATTGAGTACAGTTCTTAAACCATATAAAGTTTTGATTAGGTGTATACAAAAACGATATAGTACTATTCTAAAGCCTTGAAAGAGAAAAAGACTTGGGAGAGAGAGAGAGAGATACCTAATAAAGCAACCGACTTGAGTGAAAAACTTTTGCCATTATCAGGAACGCAATTAGAACCTTCTAAGCTCTTATTGGTGGGATGACCATTAGTCGAACATTTGCAGAAGAATAACCTGGGATTTACAGAACAGGTTTCGTTTGTCAGCGGAACCAATATAGGCGTAGCAGGTACGATATCCGTGTCTTGAGACAACATATTTGCCTCAAGTATACTCTGTCTGTTTACCCCGAACATCCGCCCAATAGAATCAGCTGTATCGCCATTTTCGACCCCATAGGTCAACAGGGAAGTCACCTCATTAGCTACTTGGTTCTTGCTTGGACAGGCACATCTAACGCGAACGACGAACTCGGTTACCAGGCTAATATTGGTCGGAACATAGTTCGGATTCTGACTTTGGATTGCCTGGCATGTGGTCAAGCCTTGGTAAGTTTGATTGGATATAGTGTAATACGTATCACCTACTTCGACAACATAAGTGGTGAAATGCTGGAAGAAATTAACTGGACAAGCGCAAGAAAGCGGAACTATGATTAACTTGTTGGCAGTGATCATGTCATCCGGCAAGATATTGTTAAGGGAAGCAATTTCAGAGGCTTCAGATCCGAGGAGACGAGCGATGCTGGTGGCGTTGTTGTAAGGTGCTCGGGATCTGAATGTGACAAAGGACTCACATGAGAACTCTGTCTGGTCATTACATAGGTATCCTTCAGATTTGTTAGCCATGGGACCCTGCATGTAGCATGTGTAGTTGAGGTATGGTTGTTGGCAGTGTGATAACTGATGAAATAGGGACAAAAACATGAATAGTAAATGGCCGAGGATATAGTAGGAAGAATGTGCCCCCATGGTCTTAAACTTCTATTTGCCTAATGATTTCAAAAGTACCAAGGCTAAGCAAGATCAAAATCATGAGGGAACAAAAGTACTGAAAACTTTTCATTATATCATCATGATAATGAAAAAGAGAAAGGGAAGTTGGAATATACTCAGGTCTTTGAAAGGGAGCATTTCAGATAGAAAAATACTACACCTTCAGCAACTACTATCGAATGGTGCAAAATTCAAAAAAGCAAAACTCAACAGGTCTTCAGCAACTACTATCGAATGGTGCAAAATTCAAAAAAGCAAAACTCAAAGATTGTTGACTTCTAGAGTCGTGCTACAGTTGTGTTAGTGAAATGGTCCCAAAACAATGGAACCTACTTACTACCGCTGACTTGCTGACTGAATTGAAATCGAATGGTATAAGATTTTTTTTTCTTTCTTTCTTCCTCTCTCGTTTGATAGTACCCTATCTACAAAACTTAAATTTTAAACGCCAGTTCTGCAAAATTATCATATACTTATATATGATTCTGATGGAACTATGAAATTCTCCTTCTCTCCCTTTTTAATTATGCGACATAATCACATAATTATCTGTAATTCACCTTCACCTAGTACCCTATCTATTAAAAGTTTTAATACAAATCAATAAAAATATGATAAAATATATTTTATAAGTGTAGAATATTTAATATGATCAATAAAAACTAAAATAAATAAAAAAATATTTTAAAAATAAAAAAATTAGTGTATTTTTTTAGACGGATTGTTAGACAATTTAGGCGGTTTAGAAAGTCAAAACCACAAACCAAACTGTCATAAAAATTTGATTAAAAACTTAACCAAACCGCTTAATTATCCAAAAATAATTAATGATTTGTTTCAATTTGATTTGAATTGAGCGGTTTGAACGGGTTGACGTATTTTTTAAACACCCATATTTTTAAGTGTCACTGTTGTTTAATTCTTTCCTTTATTATTGAAAGCGATAATATCCAAAACAACCCCCAAACATTTGTCCTTTTTATTATACAAATACCTAATACCTAAAACAGCACACTCCCTGTGTTCACAAAAATTATACTCAAAATACCTTCTAAATCAATTTTTTTTAAATATTAAAATTACGCTCTCCAACCTTTATTAAATCCAATTTAAAACTTTATTAAACCAAAATATTAAATAAAATCAATCTTAAAACAATTAAAGTATTTGCTTGATTGGAATATTTAGTTGAGCCTTTTTTAAATTGTTTATTTATCTTTTTAGTTAAATATAAGTAAACAATAATATCTAATATAGATTGAGAAGGATAATTTTGATATTTTAAAATTTTAATTGTCTTAGAAGGTATTTGGAGTCTGATTTAATTTGTGTTTTGGGTATATGTATAATAAGAAGGATAAAAATGATAGTTTGGCAAAACACAGGGTGCTTTGATATTTTTCCTCTTTCAAATTCACCTATAGTGATCGCTTTGCTGTTGCAGTTGACTTTTAAGGGTCTTCTTCTTAAGACTGTAACTGTTGGACTTTTCTGGCTGTAATGTTGGACTTTTAAGGGTTCATCTTCTTCCTGGAAAGTTCAAACTTGATTTACTATGCTGGATTTTTTATTTTTTGTCTTTTAAAGGAAAAAAGAGAGAGAAGAAAATTCTTCTTTCTGGCAAGTTCAAACTTGATTTACTAAGGCCTCGTTCACTTCGCAGATTTGAGTTTTCAATTCGGACTGAGATGTGACATTTTTTTAGAGCTTTTCACTGTAGCAAAAAAAGGTTAGATGTGATATTTTTTGAGAGCTTTTTACTGTAAAAACTTAGAACTGAAAACTCGAATCAGTGAAATGAACGAGACCTAAACCTCCGGTTGTTTTATATAGGTTTAAACTACCCTTTAAAAAAATTTATTACAGTATTTTTTATTATAAAATTTAAATTTTTATTTAAATTTTTTTATTTAAATTTATGAACTAAATAAACTCATTGCTAAATAAAAAAATAATAATAAAAAAGGAAAGTAGGAAAAGTTCTTGCAGCAAGGGAAAGAAAAAGAGCTGGGATAAAATGACAGCTGAGAGAGAAAGAAAATTCAATTGTTATATTTTAATTTTTTTATTCTTTAGTTTTTAAAGGAAGAAATAGAGAAAAAGAAAATTCTTCTTTCTAGCAAGTTCAAACTTGATTTACTATGCTAGATTATAAAAAAAATAAAAAATAAAAAAAAAACAATAACAATAAAAAATTGAAAGTAGGAAAAGTACTCGCAGAAAGGAAGAGCTGGAATAAAATGACCGCTGAGTAGTATATTTTTCTTTCTATATATATAGGACAGTGATTCCATCCAGCGGGATGGAGCATTCATAAGTATTGTCAGCCGTTCAAATTACATTTGAGGGTCATGATTGACCCAAGGGCATGAATTTTGTAGAAGTCTCATATAAAGGCCCATATTCGGTTGAACTCCATTTAGAGCATGTTTAATTCGTTAATTTGAGTTTTTAATTTGAGTTTAGATGTGATTTTATGTGATAATTTTTTACTATAATAAAAAAGTTAGATGTAACTGTTTCTGAAAGTATTTTACTATAATAAAACTCGAATTCTAACTTTAAGTCGATGAAATGAATGAGGGCCCGTTTAGTTCGTTGATTCGAGTTGAGATGTGATTTTATGTGAGAGCTTTTTACTGTAGCAAAAAAGTTAGATATGATTATTTGTGAGAGCTTTTTACTGTAGCAAAACTCAAATTCTAAACTCGAATTAGCAAAATGAATGGGCTGAAGCTTTACTCACGACTTTTCTTTCTTTTTTTTGGGGGCTTTGCATTCTAAGCTACATAGAGAGAAAAGGTAACTGTTTAACCACACCTCGCGCCTATCTAAAACGAAGACCATGACCTCACAATCTACTCTTGTAATAAAAGAAAGAGTACTTACCCTAAGTCATATTCGTCTGAGCAATTAGATGGAAAAAAAAAAAAAACAGATATAACAAGTGATTAAATCAAATTAAATGATATTAAAGTTGGTAATCTGATAATTAAAGATATAACAAATAAGAAAAATCCACTACTTTATGAGTTTTTTCTTCATTTTTTATGGTTTTTTTTTTCATGATTTCAGTTGCACGAAAAATGCTACTTATTATTACTAGCAACGATGAGGAAGAGAACATATTATAGGATAAATTTTACAAGTTCCATCCAAATTCACAAACCATTCCTTAGACAAGCTAACAAGAAACAAATCGAGAAGTCAATACAATTACAAGCAGTAAATGATGGAGTCGTCCAATTATTAACTCAACAGGAATAAACGGTATGAAACGTTTTATTAATATGACTATTGTTCTGATTTTGAATTCGATGATGACCATCTTGCTTAAATGTATCATACATCTTATTATTTAGTATTGTGATTAGAGATGTCACCTTGAATAAATATTTACAAAAAAAAGAGTCTCCTAGTGCTATTTTTAAGAAAAAAAAAGAAAAAAATTTCATTCCCGTAGTGCTATTTCTCGAAAAGAAAAAAAAAGAATTCAAAACGCTTCGTTCTGTTTTGAAAATCATGCGTTCAATTTAAAATTTCTTCATATATCAAACGTATTTCAAATGCACACGGTGCAAGTTATTTAATCTACAAATTAAAAAAAAAAAATGTTCCAATGCCTCTTAAAAATTAATAAAACGTTACATTGTAATTGAACAATTTAAGTACAAAAAGTTACGTTGGAATGAACCATTGTTATGTTTTTTTGCCACAAAAATTACGTCATTGTCTGATAAAATAAAACCTATCTATACAGTTAAATTAATAAAACTAGATCAAATATATGTAACATTACCGATCAGCCCCTCGAAACAAGATAAGTTTACAACAATGCCAAGTCAAATAACAATGCCCACTCGCTACAGCCGGTTGCGAAGATTAAAAAAGTAGTAAAAATTCTTTAACAATCAATTACACCCATCATTTACTCAATTTTAACAGCCCATCAAAGTCCTAAGCATTTGCCACGTAGGGCCTGAACCATCCAGCCGGCTGGATGGAATCAGCTTCCTCTATATATAAAACGTTACTATTTCATTTTTTTTAATAAATTACAGTTTTTTATTTTTAAATAAAGATTATTAAGCGTCTATAAATAAATATTTTGTATAAAGCTTTATATGTGCTTAAAAGAAAATGTGTTCAAAGAAAAATGTAGAGAAATAGTGTTTTTTTTAGAGAGAGAGAAAAATGAGAAGATAGATAGACAATGGTACAAAAGGTTTTGGGTGGAGAGAGAAGGTAAAAAAAGTTGTATGTGTGTAATTCTAATAATTGTTAGTGAATTTTTTTCTCTTCTGTAGACGTAGGAAATTTTACTAAATCACCTAAATCTTTGTCTTCTCTATTTTTTTTGTTATTTTTATTTCAGTTTATTTTGCTATTGTGTACGTGTAATAGTGTGTTTTTCCCTAACAAACTTTTGTCTATAGTTCCTTCGAGAGATCGTCTTTCTGACATAACATATAGAAGTGAAGACGTATTATTGTAATTATTTAACGTAACATGAAGACTAAAAAAACGTAACACCAAGAACTTTGATTAGCTCATATTATTGTTATATTTTATTTGGTTATTTGTTATAATAAGGATGTTAGAAAAATACAATAATAATCATAATAATTGAACAACTTGATATCTTACATTTCTAATGTCATTGCTACGTTAAATAAATATCATATTACGTTTTACTTTTCTTTACGTCTTACTTTTCTATACTTTAAATTGGAGGGACGTTCTCATCAAAGGAGCATAAGAAAAGTCCTATACATATAGAGAGTTTTTCTTGTAAGACTAAAAAAAGAACTAGAGATAATTTTTTACTTTTTAATTATCAAATATGTATAAGTTTATAATGTATATATTTTTAATTAAATTTGATTTTGTTTAAATATAAAGGTAGATCGGTCTAGGAGAGAGAGTCTCATCTCATATATATATATATAAAAGCCCGCTCTCTAGTAGGAAAATGACAGCACAAGAGAAAAACAGTTTTCGTGTTTTAATAGAATTTGACTAAACAGAGCCCATAACAAAGCGGCACGTATGCCTGATAGAAGTTCAAGACGATAACGAAAACTACTTGTTGGTCCAAATCTCATCATACATGTACATAAATTCCAGTTTCTTTCGTCAAGGTAAAACTCAATAAGTTGTGTTTAGTCTCAAAAGTCACATCGAATAATGATCGAAAATTCATTAACCAAGTTCACCACAATCTGTGTGTGTTCAAATAGAACTCGAAACAAAAATGGAGGTTCCATCTTCCTACAACATTCTTGTTGTATCCTTGTTTGTCTTCCTATTTCCTCGGCCAAATCACTGCCAACAAGCACACCTAAACGACACCGGCTTCAACTGCTCTAGCAACGCCGCTATATCAAAAGGATACCTCTGTGATGGCCATGTGAAGTCATGCAACTCTTTTGTCACTTTCAGGTCCCGAGCACCCTACGACACCCCGATCAACATCGCCTATCTCCTTGGCTCTGACGCCTCCGAGATCTATTCAGTTAACAACATCTCATCAGATGACAAGATTCCTACCAACAAATTGATAGTAGCTCCGATTTCTTGCACGTGTTCCGGCAATATCTACGAGCATCTGACTACTTACACCGTGAAAAAATCCGAAACTTATTATATCACAGCCCAAGAGACCTACCAAGGCCTGACTACATGTCAGGCAATGATATATCGGAACTACTATGACCCCGAGAATATCCCGATAGGATCGCAGTTAATGGTCCCGGTGAGATGCGCCTGTCCTAGTCCCAACCAAACAGCAAGCGGGGTGACGACCTTGTTGACATATTTGGTCGACAAAGGTGAGACATTTGCATCTATTGGGAAGAGGTTTGGGGTAAACAGACAGAGCATACTAGAGGCAAATATGTTGTCTCGGGAAAATAGTACTATCTTGCCTTCTAGACCTATATTGGTTCCATTGAAAAGAGAGACTTGTTCTGTATATCCTGAGATGTTCTTCTGTAAATGTCGCAATGGTTATCTTACAGATGAGAGCTCTGAAGGTTTCCATTGCATTTCTGATGATGGGAAAAGCATTCCAGTCAAGTTGGTTACTTTGTTAGGTATATTATGTCCCTTTTTTCCTCTTCCAAGTTTATTAGAATTTGTTACCAGATTATTTATGGATGCAGTAGAAACATTACAAACTTTTATTTATTTCCGCAGGTATTGGCATTGGATTTGCACTTTTGTGTCTGTTCCTTTCTGGTTACTTCTTGTATCAATGCTTAAAGAAAAGGAGAATGAGAATCCGCAAGGAGAGGCTCTTCAAGCAAAATGGCGGTTTATTGTTGCAAGAAAAATTGTCGTCTTTAGGGAACGGTGAGAAAGCAAAGCTGTTTACTTCAGAGGAGCTGCAAAGAGCAACAGATAACTACAACCAAAGTCGCTTTCTTGGTGAAGGAGGCTACGGAACAGTTTATAAAGGGATGCTAACTGACGGCAGCATTGTTGCCATTAAGAAGTCGAGAGCAATCGACAGAAAACAGATTGAACAATTTGTAAATGAAGTCGCCATTTTATCACGAATTAATCATCGAAACATTGTGAAACTATTAGGTTGTTGCTTGGAAACCGAAACTCCAATGCTTGTTTACGAGTTCATCCCAAATGGAACTCTCTTTCATCAAATCCACAACAAAGACCCCGAATCATCGCTTTCATGGGAGAACAGATTAAGCATTGCTAGTGATGTTGCAGAAGCTTTAGCATACATGCATTCTTCAGCTTCAATGCCTATCTTTCACAGGGACATCAAATCTTCCAACATACTCTTGGATGAGAAGTACAATGCAAAAGTGTCCGATTTTGGGACTTCAAGATCAGTCCCAGACGACAGAACTCACTTAACTACAGCAGTGCAGGGAACTTTCGGGTACATGGATCCTGAGTACTTCCGTTCAAGCAAATTCACAGATAAAAGCGACGTCTATAGCTACGGAGTTACTCTTGTAGAACTTCTAACGGGCGAAAACCCATTTTCGTTTGCGAAAGATGAAGCCAAAAATCTGGTTACGACTTTCATCTCATTGACAGGAGAAAATCAGCTTTTCCAAATTATAGACCCCAGAGTGGCAAGTGAGGCAAGGAAGGAGGACATTCGGGCTATTGCAGAGCTGGCAACGAGATGTTTGAAGTTGAATGGGAAGAAGAGACCCACAATGAGAGAAGTATATTTGGAGCTAGAAGGCGTGAGAAAGAGCCAAAGAAAATTGTAAATCAGCCAAGTTGTTCAGTCATTTAAAGGGGAATTAGCATTCATAAATAACACCAGCAGTGCCATACGAGAAGAACCTGCAGAGCAAAGCATTGATTTCTCCTTGGAAATGGAAACTTCGTCATTTAAGGTTTGGTAAGCTGTGGTTTTGCCTTTTTAGCTTTCATTTACTAGTTATGCAAGATTACAGAGATAAGAATTCCAGAGAAAATACAAAAATGTTATTTATTCTCAGTTAGCAACAAAAGAGGGGCAAAAAATAGAGGTTTTTCCACAGATAATGACTCCATTAACTCTGATCTTATATACAATCAACCATTTCATAGTTCATTTTTGTCTCTGACGAAATCAACTGACTCAGAAAACAAATTACTACTTAAATCCATTTTTCATGTCAGACTACAAACTGTACGTTGCCTTTCTACGACTTACTCCAATCTCACCTGCGAAATCAAATTCTATGGCCTAGCACCGCAATCATCGGATATGGTCTCTTCAGAAGATGCGTCACTTTCAATAATGATTACATCATCTGGTTTACCAACATGACCAGAAGCCCTTACTGGTTCAGCTGTCCCACGTCTCGCTCCCAATGAATGGTCAAGACGATGACCTTTGCCACCAAACTCATAATGATCAAAATAGGGGCATGCAATATGCATCATTTGTGAACGTGCACTAGATAAGATGGCCGTAGGTGGCAGTGGTTCTATCGGACCTGAAGGAGAAGAAAAAACTGCTTCTCTGAGCCAATGAGGGAGATTGCCTTTCGCTGCCATGCAAGTTGCTGGATCATTAGTTGAAGTATTATTTTTTGAGACGGCTGTCCTCCTTAAACGGTATATTGGCTCGTCTTCATAATTTTCTCCTTGATAAACAAGATACGGATCTCTAATTGGGTTATTTACTGGCCCCTGGTCGTATTCTGTGTCCGTTTTCCGCATATAAGTCGACTTGAATCTTGCCCTCCTTGAGATGTTACGTTCTTTATGATTATATACATCTCCAAGTGAGAGTCGAGTTTCATCTGCCACACGCTCTCTCCAAATTCCTGAACCAGAGCAGTCGAAGCCCAAAGAAATGCCCTGCGATTTTGAATGCTGAAACTGTGGAGCATGTGTGCCCTTTAAAAGTTTAGATTGTTCTTCTTCCCACTGTTCGGCTAGGTCCTTTGCCACCCTCCATGGAGAAAACCGCAATCTTGGGTCCCTTAGCATAGCATTCCAATTGGCCCTTCCATATCTTCTCACACCAATCCATAAAGAATCCAACTCTTCTTCGGTCCAAGCCAAAGCACATGGCTTGAACTTGTCCTGAAAGGTGTCCCTTTCGCTCAAGGCTCTTGCCCGGCTAACAATGTCGTCGAGCAACGACTTGTGTCTCAGTAGTGATGATAAGTGGCTTGATGAAGAAGGGGGCAGTGTGTTCTCAAAAGCTTGTCTGGTTTCACCCACACTGTGCAGAAAGGGAAACGTACATTTACTGGAGGAAAATCTAGTGGTCTTAGGCTTTGTTGGCAAGGATAGACCTAAAAAGGAGGGAGATCTTTTCTGTTGATTATTTTCCTTTTCTGACAAAAAACGGTTTCTTTCCTCTGCAACCATACAGGCAGTCACCTCAGGCTGCATGGTTTCTGACTGGAAACTGTCGTAGGTTCTTTCTTCAGAGAAAAGCTGGTACCAATTTTAAAAGAAAAAAGTGAATCAATAGACGATCTTATTATCTCGAAATAACAATACTAAGAATGTCTCGGGGAAAAATAAATAACAGAAACCAAACAGTTGGATCTATTCACTTTTAAGAATATGATACTATGTACCGGCAAAACTTTGTTCTTTGACATAAAATCTAGAGGAGGCGGCGGAGAAGTTTTGTCATTATTGTTGCAATTGGCACAAGCTTCTTCCACAAATGCATTTGCATCTCCAAAATGGTGTGAATGCTGGGTTGAAATAGATTTCTCTATCTCATTTCCGACATTTGACACGTGTGGAGGAAACGTTTTGGGCAAATCGGCGGCACGGCTTCTGCTAGTTGAGTCCAAAGAGCCCCAAAGAGTTTCTGACGCAGCATGCACAGATTGCTTTTGGCAATTTGAGTCCAACACATTACAGTCCACTGTACCACTTGAGTCTACCACAAAAATCCCATCAAAAGATAGTCTTTAAATAAAATATTAAAGCAAAACAATATTGTGAACCAATTTATTCGCTAGCTCAAATTTTTGATGTAATTATAGAATCATACCAGTGGGCGTAACAGTAAGGTCCAAAAAAGGATGTGATCCTCTTACTGTTGCTTGCAATTCTTCTCTTCCGCCTTTTTCTGGTTGTTTACCTGCCATTACATCATTGGAAGACGAACTTTTCATGTTTAAAGAGATTTCAAGACAATCCATAGGCAGATCTTCTTGGACATTAATTGCAATCTGCTCATTTTGGTCAAGGACTTTTTCAGCTTCATACAAGACATCCTTGGATACTCCCTTCTCATCATTCAGTTCTTCTCCCTCAAAAATGAAACTGTTCAAGGATAATTATCAGGCAATAACAAAACAAGAATTTCTCGTGTTTTAATTCTTAAGTTCATAGGGACCTACATTTTAGTCTCCAGAACAGGTGCGGCATCAGCACATGCAGAACCAGCATCCAGTATCTATAACAAGATTAAACGAATTAAAAGATTAGCAGTTGTATAACAGCAATAAGAAATAATAATAATCCACAAACATATTGAGAAGATCAAAGCACTTTAAGTGGTGCCCAGGTGATCAGAAAATTTTTAAAATTGGTAGCAGGGTGAGAATATCTCTTTTGTACGAGATAGGCGGCAATGAAGAAAAACTGATATCATATTTCAGTAGAAACTCTATTAACATAACGAAAACAGGTAACTATCACATTCTCGAATTTCAGCAAGTGGAGAACAACATAAAAAGCCGATAATAACAAACCAAAGAACTAAGCAAGAAATCAACATACTTTATTTTCAATTTCGCAAACCATATCACTTGTATCGTGAACCTGTTCTGGAGGCTTGAAATCCATTGCATGACCTATGAAGCAGTGTTTTTCATTAGCTGTTTCACGTGGAGAAGTACTACCACATGCAGAATTGCTCCACTTGTTAACCACTGAATATTTACTATCCTCTAGCAGCGATTTTCTTTGAGTATCAGCACCTTCTGTCTTCCTTTTTCTCTTAAATCTTCGAGTGAAAGTAATCAGCGGACCCATCAACTTAGTTTTCTCAGCTGAATCACTACATAAAACAGTGACTTTATCTTTATCAAGTGAATGAACAATCTCCAAACTTGATGTTTTTGACTTTGATGGAGTATCATGATATTCAAAGCTGTTTTTTCTTTCAAATGATGGTTTTAGTCCAACAGAATCCGCTGTAGTATCGGTGACAGTACCCCTTGAGAAAGAAACTAATCTTCCTTCAAAATAACCATTGTCACCTAAAATGTCAGCATTGACACTTGAAGATGAACCCGCCTGAGTGTGACATGACTCGTTTGGTAAACAATTATTTGTCGGAGACAATCCAACCATGTCCCTTTTGGAGGTACCCTCATCAGAACATTTTGTCATCTGCGCAGGGTTAAATTCTTCAATTTCTTTCTCTTTCTCAAGTCTGCTCGACTTTTTTATTGATGGAGATGTTGAAGAATCTTGTTTATTGATGCAACAAATGCGCTTAGAGAGAGAGAAAGAAAGAAAAAAGGACAGTTTAATAGACATCATTGGACAATCTTATAAGTGACTTTCATCACATCAAATCATCTAAAACTGAGTTTAAGGGATTTTACCGAAGAACTGACAGTCTCATCTTCTGGCGGGCGCTTATCAATCATTTCATCACATGCATCTGGCCTGCGTAAAGTAGCCGCCTTCGAAACAGATAATGAAGAATTATGGCACCCATTTCCGTTGGTATGACCATTACCTGTCAGCCTCTTTCTCTTATATGTCAAAAACACTTTGCAGCCCAGCATTTAAGCTTCTTAGAAACAGAACTATTATCCCAACTCTGAGAATTTACACTTTATAAAATTAAAAGATTCCAATAATCGCACTTTTCTAGCGTTGAAAACCAATTAAGGCATCTTATCCTCAAACAAACCTGCAAAGATACAGAATCTTTTTTCATAAATCAAGTGGCCAGAATAGTAATATGAATATATACAATGCAAACATGGCAATAACAGGTCCATTTTCACATGATAAATGCCGTTTTGCATCTTTGAACTTTGAGAATCATAGCACCACCAACAATTCCAGACAGTTATTCCAAGACTCCGTTTGGAAGCAGTATACAATTTCTACCAAAGAATCTAGAAAATTTCCCCCAAACTACAGACTCACAACCTAACAGCACGCATTTTCCTCCCCCAAACAAACGGTACCTTATTGCTTGGCAATTAAGCCATTAAAATGCATTCTTTTCACAGAGTGTCATTTGGGTTTTACCAGACTAAGTACCCAAATGCTTTCTTTCTTTGCCAAGAATCAATCTTTTTCTCTCTTTTGGAAAACCCAATGCAAGACCCATATTTCTTTTTCCTTTTTTTCTTTTTTCTCTTAATTCTTTTACCTCTCACCTCACTTTCTCATCAATCAAGAAAAATGCAAAAACCATAATCACAACTCTCCAAAAATAACCAAACAACAAATAAAACACAACAAATTTGTCAAATTTACATACAAATACAATATGGGGAGAGCATCAAACCTGGAAACTGAACACCAGGAAACGACGTCGTCGGAGCTGAGTTCTTCCTCCGGCGAAGCACTTGACAGTTGACACTTATAGCTCCAATCCTTTCTTTTTTTCAAAAAAAAAAAAAAAGTTCAAAACAAAAAAAGAAATTGTGAAGAGAGTGAAGGTGGAAACTTATGAGAGAGCATTTATCAGCGTCAGAGCATTCAGCACTGCCTTTCCAACAAGACAACAATTTCTGAAAACAACTTTTGCTTTATTTTATTTTATTTTTTTTCTCTCTCTATTTCTATTTCTAATCCTCTCTCTAACATACTGACACACATATAATATATATTTGTTTTTTTATTTCTTTAATTTTTTATTCTCTAATAATTGGTAAATATTTTCCTTTTTCATTTTAGTGGGTCCCAGTGCTGTCACTCTCCGTATCATGTGTGTGTGCCTCAGTGTGGGCTTCGCGCGTGTAAGCTGAGCTCGTACGTGTGAAATTTCTGCGGGAACAGCTGGCGGCTCCGGCTTTCGATTTTTCACTTTCCGCTTTGTAGAGGATCCTTCCCACGCGCTCTCTTGCGCGTTGTGTTTAGAGACGGGATCGAGGACGTTCGATAGTCGATTCCAACGCACGCGCTCTCTCGTGGGTGATGGCTCCTCCTCATCTCGCCGTGGCCCCACTGTAAAAGTCAACTTATACGGAGCTTGTGTTTTGACCTCTGTCTTTTGTTTCGCGCCGATTTGGCAATGAATTCAAGTAGAATTCTTTCCATTCAGCGCAATTTTTTTAAAAAGAAAAAAGTAAAATTAAGTACCATTTGATAAACAAAAAGGTAAACGCTCTTCAATGAATGTTCTTCTATCAAAAAAAAAAAAAAAAAAAAAGTAAATACCCTTCAAAAGCAACTCGTTATAGAGCTAAGCTGAACACTCTTGACTCTTTCAAGCAAAAAAAAAACCTCTCTTGACTCTTCAAAAGCAACTCAATGCAGAGGTAAAAATAACAGTTTCCAAAAACAATTAACGCATCAATTTCTAATTCATATAATCAGATTTAATAATTTGATTGTTGATCACGTCTTAAGAAATATATTTTGTTTCAGAATAATATTGACCTTTTTTTCTTTCTAGAAAGAGTTTATATTGAATTAATCTTAAAGTTAAAGAGGTATTTGTGGTTTGTATTGATGCAAAGATCCCAAGTTATGCATCAGATGACACGCATAACACTTTGTCAAGCTCAAATTTTTAACTTTTTCAACAAAATGAGATTCGTTAGTAGGGTAAAATTTTGAATTTTAAATTAGGTATTGAATGGGGTACTTGGGCCACAAATGAGGGTATTAAATGATCGGTGATAGCTCAATTATAATCGTTACGTCAGATGACAACTCTTTTAGAAGCAAATCGTTAGTTAATGATGTGACATACATAGGAGGTAGACCGCTCTAAGTAGATGCAAAAGACAACATGTGATCGATCAGACCAACAATTGTAGGTGAAGATGGTTGTGTGAGCGCTTATGAAGTCGAGTATACGGGAGTCGAGAGATATGCGAGATTTGCTATTTGTAATTCAAATATATGAAATTTAGGCAATGAAATTGTCCTGGTTGATTGTAATCTCCATCTTTTGAGAAACTATCCTAAAAGATGAAGGAAATATCCCTGAATTAAATAGGAAAACCGACTGGGATAATGGGGAACAATATGAATAAGGGATGGTAGGCCGAAAAAATGAGGAGGTCTCATTCTAAACATTAGTGCGTGTAATCTCTACGAAATAGTAAAAATTTCTCAATTCCCCACAATAGACGTAGCTCTTGAATCAATAGTGAACCATTATAATTCTTACGTGTTCTTACTTTTTAATTGTATTTTACCATAACTTTAATCATAAAACTCGCACAAACCCTTTAGAATTTCGTTATTATTTTATTAACGTACTGTCACCGTCAACAAGATATGTAATTAGAAAAGATCATTTGTTTTTACTATTTTTTTTAATAAATGACCAAACTATCTATTTTATTAGGCAAATGACCCAATTTTTTTTTATTTTAGGAAAATGACCGATTTCTTATTATAATTAATTTCACGGATTCATTATTAATTAAATTATGATTTATTATTAATAAATATATAATTTATTTATTGAATTTAATTTATTATTAACTTATTTTAGTTTGTTATTAGCTGATATTAATTAATAATAGAGAATTATCAAGTTAATCAGTGACACATCTCCAAGTTAATTAGTGGTAAGTTAAATCAATCAGTTATTAATTAATAAGTTAAAAAAATGATAATTTCTTTTATTTTACAAAACTTTGATCATTTATTAAAAAAATGGTTAAAAGCGATCATTCTATTGTTACGAGACAAGGCACTATCATGAGATTAACAATAAATTTAGTGGATGTTTGGTTCATGGATTCATAATCATGCTTATTTTACGTGTATTTTTTGTGTGAGAAAAAATTGTAGAGAACAATAAATCATGATTCATAATCAGAGACGAATACAGAAAACAAACATCTCCTTAGATGTTATAAAGTAGAATTCTGCTTAAAAAACGAATAACTAATGAACGTTAAAAGTTGTCTCAATAATGTTTAGGGACTTTCTCAGAATTATAAAAAAAGAATTATCGATTATTCATACTTTTAGTCATATAATCTATATTAAAAACTATTAATTATGCATACCTTTTTAATTTAATATGATTTTAATCAAATTTAACAGTAAAAAATTAATCCTATCAGCAATAAGACCATGCTAGAGAACGTCACAAAACTTTAAGTAAAAAATGAAGATACACACATAATCCTTGAACACTGTTTCATTTAGTAGTTTTTTTCTCCTTTTTATCCTCGAACATGGTTTCATTAAGTAGTGTTTATCGTTTTGGTTACAGAGAAACGACATATCGTTTGTATCAATCATAGTTGTTCACTACTTACATTAAACGACATGTCGTTTTAGTCGCATGTATAAATGCTGCGTCGTTTACTACTTTGGAACGTCATTTTGGGTGCGTTTAGAATTCATTCCAAAATGATTTTATTTTTGTGTATGAAAATGAAAACGAAAATGTTTTCATTTTCATTTTGGAATCATTTCTGAAAATACGTTTGGTAATTTTATTTTGAGATTGTTTTCAGTTTTAAAAAAACTGAAATTGTGTTTGGTGGTTTAATTTTTAAAAACATGTAATAATATTTAAAATAATAATATATTAAATAAGTAATATTATTAAATAAATTAATATAACATTAGGGTTCGTTCAGTTTGCTAATTCAAGTTGAGATGTGATGTTGTGTGAGAGCTTTTTACTGTAGCAAAAAAGTTAAATGTGACTGTTTATGAGAACTTTTTATTGTAACAAAACTCGAATCAGCAAAATGAACGGGACCTATATATGTTAGTTAGGAAATGTTGGGGGCAATCGAAGAAGAGTGGGGGGCGGCGCAGTCGGAGGAGAGTGGCGCCCGGGGGGGTGCAGTCGGAGAAGAGCGGCAGGCGGGGGGCAGTCAGAGAATAGTGGGGGCGGGCAGTCATAGACGGCGGAGGAGCTCGGCCGAGAAGCAAATGGCGCAGGTCAGGCGAGGGAAAAACGGAGAAGCAAATGGCGTAGGTTCACACTGGTCAAGGGCAGAAAAAAAATGAAAACGGGGTTTTCAAATTTTCAGAAAAGGACAAAAATATTTTTATTTTTAATTTTTAAAAAATTTTACACTAAACACATTTTCTCTACGCGTTTTTATTTTTTATTTTTAAAAACCGTGAAAAATGAAAATAAAACAGAAATAAACGGGCATTTGTTTTAACGCTATCGAGGACTGTGAGTAGTTCCCATATTATGATTTATGCGGCATTTTTCGCGTATCGTTTTGTGCTGTGCAATATAGACTCAAAACGACAGGCCGTTTTTTCTCCATATTAAAGAAAAATCCCACGCTATTATTAGGTTTTCAGCTTAGTTGCATTGCACAAGAAAATAGCTTAAATTCTTCCGATACCAACTTAATATATTAATGAGAGAAAATAACATCCAAAAAAATTAATTAAAAAAACAGCCATCCAAAAAAGTTGACAGTATTTATTCCGCAATACCAATAGTAACAAACATCTGAATTTCTACCAAATAGACGACCATTTTATTGTCATAAGTCAAATTTTGAGCTGATCAATTCTTTAGGATCAAATTGAATCCTAATTACGAACTTGATTATTTTTTGGTTGTTTATGGTGGAATAAGGGGCTTTTCATCGGAGTTTGGAATCTAATTTCTTTCTTCATCCTGCTACTAAATTTGTTTTATTCTCACAATATTCTTGAAAGGTTAAACAACTTACAATTTGTTCATCAAACGTTTCCTTTTTTTTTTTTAAAAAGAAAAGAAAATAATGAAACCTATATGTGTGGAGATATTTCGGTAGTAAACTCTCATTGGTCTCACCTCTAGTTTCAGATGACACCGGTAATTACTTTTTGTTTGGTTCTTAGTCCTCAACAAACCAATCGTTTCTTTTTTTTTTCTTAAAAAAAAAAAAAAATTGCCAATGAACTAATGATTTAATTGGTAGCTCTAGTGGACAATTTTGCCTTCGCTTTTGTGTCACTGTTATGCTTTTACTAAGATATTTTTGATTTGAGAAAATGCAAGCACAATTTGTCAATTAGTATAGGCAATTTTGTATTTGATTCATTTTTTGAATAGTAGTACTAATAGATTTTTTTAAAAAATGTTTATTTTTTATATTCATCATTAATTTTAAATCATAATTTATAATATTTTATAATTTTTTTTTTTTTTTTTTCATAAAAAACACACATAAAATAAAATTAATTTTAAATTTACGAAACAATCGCTTTCCTTATTGACTGTGGGGTTGGGAAGAGGATAATATTAACCTTGTCAACGAGCAAACAAAAGGTGGGGACTTGGATTGGACTGAAAAACGCGACATGAGAATTTAATTACCTTCTCATCAAGCCGTTGGATCAAGATTAAGAGTGGTTTCCGTGACGCCACGTGTCCGCACTGTAGGCTAATTTCCCCATCGGCCAAAACACAATATCCCCTTTCCATGGCCGATACTAGTACAGCCCTTCCTTCTCTGACTCCCACTCGTCGTATCGTATGCACTTTTTGTGCTCAATTCCATGGCGGAATCCATAGCAATGCTTCCCTGGAGCATCTCCTCCAATGCTCCTCTCGACCATCACCACCGGTAAGTCTCATCGGAGAACTCAATGTCTTCGTCTTCTGATGAAGTTTCGAATTTCTCAAGGTTTTCATGGTTTTGGTTTCCGAACAGGCTGTTGCCTCGCGCGCTCTGTAGTCTCTCGCGGAATTTTACAATCTCCAGATTCAGTTCGACGCAGTCGTCGCTGCTGTTCTCCGAGAAATCGCGGCAAAAGTGCGCGCCGGCGCTGAAAGTGCTGGTGAAACCGGAAACTCAAGCCGCTCCGGCGACGCCGATCATCGGAAACGACAAGATTGGAGTTTTGTTGCTCAATCTTGGAGGTCCCGAGACTCTCGACGATGTTCAACCTTTCCTCTTTAACCTCTTCGCTGACCCGGTAAAGTTGTTGTTTTTATTTTTTATTTTTATTTAATATAAATAGAAATTTGTGATTTTTATCGCTATTAACGTTATTTTGAGCTTAACTAATGGGAGATGGTCATTCTTTCTCGCTATTAACTTTGGGATTTTCATTTCAGATAGAGACTTACAGTGTCGTTGAAGTTTCTTTGGATTGAATATTTAAATTTACTTTTTTATCGCTTTTTTTCCCTTTATTTTATTTTATTTTACTTTGCCTTTTCCTTTTTGTGTGGGAGGCGGCGGGTGAGAGGAGTTGGATTACCGATCCGTGCAGATTTTGGTGAAAATAATTGATAATTCATACTATCTTGCAATTGGTGATTATTTTAAGAAGATGACTGTCACTAAACTATTGTTAATTTCTTATTTTTAATATATATTTTTGCTTTGTTTAATCTCTGGAAACATGTCATGCGTAAATTGTTTAATTCTAATACATGGGTGTTTGAATTATCATCATCTGATTGGACACCATTGGACAGGACATTATTCGACTGCCAAGGTTATTTAGGTTTCTTCAAAAGCCCTTGGCACAATTCATCTCCGTTTTCAGAGCACCGAAGAGCAAAGAAGGCTATGCCGCAATTGGTGGTGGCTCTCCTCTTCGAAAGATAACTGATGCTCAGGCATGACTTCTTGGAACTGAACTCGATTCATAATTATTTCATTTGTATGCCTTTTGGTCAATAATGAGACATAACATGTGACTATAATTTGCTTTTAACTATTTAGAACTAGTTTTTCCTTCCAGTTAAATATTTTATTGATTTATGTCTTTGCTTAATTGCTGAGGAATATATGTGCGCGCGCGCTTTTCGTCTTTTCCTTCGTTGCTTCGTTTCTACTTGCCATTTAATTGCCTCCTGACAAAAAATGGGTTTTCTTTCATATATATAGGGGTGTTCAAAAAAACCGATCTAACCGACTCGACCGAAACTGTCTTAATTTTGATCGAATTGACCGAAACTGACGTCAGAAATGAACTGAACCGAACCAAACCGTGTCTGGTTGGTTTGGTTTCGGTTTTGGATCCAGCTGTTCGGTTCAAACCGAACCGAACCGAACCAATGCCCCGATGATATATATATATATATATATGTATATATTTTAATAGTTCCTTACGAGCTACCCTTGTTTATATACAGGCTGAAGAGTTGAAGAAGGCCCTTTGGTCAAAGAATGTCCCAGCAAACGTGTATGTGGGCATGCGCTATTGGCATCCATTTACTGAAGAAGCTATAGAACAGGTGTCCATTTAGCTTGTGTCCTAGCTTTTAACATGCCTTATGGGATAAATTAGATTTCAGGCTTGTGTTAATTACATTTCTTCGAATGCTGAATGGTAGGGCCAATTTCTTCATGTTAAAAAGCTTTGTAAAATTTCTCAATTCATAAGACTTCCTGGGGCGGACAGGAGTCTGTTGATGTTATCATTAACTGCGGAACAATTTTGCAGATTAAAAGAGATGGGATAACAAAGCTTGTTGTCCTTCCGCTTTATCCACAATTTTCAATATCAACTAGTGGTTCAAGCCTTCGACTCTTGGAGAGTATATTCCGGTGATATCTTCTCACAGTTACCATTATAATCCCGAAATATGATTCACGATCAATTTTTCTGAAAAATCTACAATTGTAATGATCAGGGAGGATGAGTATTTAGTCAACATGCAGCACACAGTTATACCTTCTTGGTACCAGCGTGAAGGCTATATAAAAGCCATGGCAAACTTGATTGAGAAGGAGCTAAAAAATTTTGACAACCCCCGGAAGGTACTCCATATTTAACTATGACTTGTTGTATTCTTTACGGAAATAAGTATCACTTATTGAATTTGTAATTAACGGTACTTAGCATTATTGTTTTTCCCCTCCTTGCGTGGAGTTCATTGTTGGTTGAGTTACTTGGATTCCTGCTCGGGATTAGTGGTATAAAAAATTATGGAAACCCTCTTATTATGATATTTAAAGAAGTAAAAATTCAAAGGAATATGCTTTAACCTGAAAAATTATCGTTTATAAACCTTTTCCATAATTACTGACTTGCTTGTTTGCATTTTTCCTAGTGCATGATATTCTTTAGTGCACATGGGGTGCCACTTGCATATGTGGAAGAGGCTGGTGATCCATACAAGTCGGAGATGGAGGAATGCGTCGATCTGATAATGGAAGAATTAGAGAAACGAAACATAACTAATCCGTATACTCTGGCTTATCAGGTACTTTTTAATTAGAGAATGCTAGTACTATCTCATTTACTGCTTTTTGTTTGACGGAAGGATGGAAGGTGGAGCTATTATAAGATAGTTTTACTATCCCGGGGAAGTAGCATAAATCTTTTGGGTAATATTGGAAATTCAAGTTAACGTCTCTGCCAATATTCTTGCAAACGCTACGCATATAAATTAGGTTGTGCGAAAAGAAAAGGTATGGGAATGTACATGTGACCTATTCTTCATACTGAAATCTAGAACCATGTCCTAGAATCGAGTTTAGAAGTTGCGTGTCTGAAATTTTATTTTGGCAATTTGATTTGTATCAAATTTTGAATGGTAATATACGACTTATTCGTAGGTGTACATGCTAATTGAAGTCAAAGCTCTTTCCCTCCATTCTTTTATGATTGTGGGGATTGG